TGGCCAGGCTGGTCTTGAACTCCTGACCTCAGGTGATCCACTTGCCTCGGCCTCCCAAAGTGCTGGGATTACTGGCATGAGCCACTGTGCTTGGGTGAGCCTTCATAATTTTTATATATAATAACTAAAATTAAGAGTAAAGAGATGCTGAAAAGAGGCTCACAGCAACAGTTACTGACATTAGCCGACTAAAACCTTAGAATAAGGATGATTAATATGCTCAAAGTCATAGAAGAAAAGATGGAGAAAACAGATAAATTGGAATCTATAGAAAAAAATCTGATGTACACTTGGAAATTGAAAAAAATACCATAACTACGGTAATAACCTATGGATGAGCTTGGCAGTATAATGGGCATAGTGTAGAAGCAGGTTAGTAAACTGAAGAGAAAGTCAAAAGAATACTCAACCAAGCACAGAGAGAAAAAACGTAGAAAATAGTAAAACAAGTACAGGGGGCATGCTGGGTACAGTGAAACCATCTATTAAACACGTAACTCAGATCTCAGAAAAAGAAAACAGACACAATGAAGTAGAACTACATATGAAAAGATAATAGTCAAGAATTCAACAATGAATTTCACCTGATGAAAGATAACAATCCACAAATTCAAGAAGCTCTGCAAACTTGAAGGAGAATAAATACAAATATATATATATGTATATTTGTGATATATATATATATATCACAATACCATAAAAAAAAACAAAGAAAAAAATGAAAAATCATAAAATCACCCAGAGACAAAGATACATTTACCCTCAGAGCAACAATATGACTGATGATTTAATGAAAGTGAGAAGTCAAAAGAATAAAAAATGTTGATTGGGCACAGTGGCTCATGCCTGTAATCCCAGCACTTTGGGAGGCCGAGGCGGGCAGATCGCTTGAATCCAGGAGTTTGAGACCAGCTTGGTCAAAACAACGAAATTACATCTATGCAAAAATTAGGTAGGTATCGTGCTAATCATGAGGCTGAGGGACAAGATACGCTTAAGCCTGGGAGTCAGAGGTTTCAGTGAGCAGAGATCACACCACTACATTCCAGGCTGGGTGACAGAGCCTTGCTCTGTATCAAAATAAATAAATGAAAATAACAAAGTGTTGAAAGAAAAAACTGCCAAACAAAAATGCTATCTTCAGCTTTAAAAATTACATCTATTTAAAAATATTTTCAGACATACAAAAATGAGTGAATTAGTTGCCAGCACACTTTCAATAAAAAATGCATAACCACTTACTTCATAATTTTTATGAATAAATTATATAATAAATGAATTGGCAAGAATGCCACAAATTTAACATACCAGATATTCCAAAACCACAATTACTTTTCCACCAACTTAATAAAATAGAAATCACACATTAGGTTCACCTCTATCAATTTACTTCTTTAACTGAAACTAAAAATTTTAAAGTGATTAAGTTCACTAATGCATAATATTTGTCACATAGGTCCTCCTGTATTTTCCAAATCATGTTTCTACACTTATTCGTTTGCTATGCACTATCCCCCATGAGAAAGGCAAGGCAGATATTATCATCTTTATTGTATGCAGAATGAAACTAACGTTTGCAGACTCTGCAAACATCTACTCCTTAAGTAGATGACAAAGTCAAAACTAGAACACATATTTCCTACCAGTGTTCATCACTGAGACATTATGAAGTAGAAATGAATTAATAGTATCCCAGGGGAGTCATAAATTGCAAAATTCACCCAATATATAGCAAAAGGATAATTGTGGCTTCAGAGAATTTGTCTTGAATATTTTTATTTTATTTTTAAAACCACATTAACAGTATTATTTTAAACTTCTAAATATTAGATCATCACACTCCTAAATATTTTCAACAACACTGTAACTATTGACTTTCAGCCTTGTAGTTCCAGAAAAGTCTAGGATGCAAAAACCTTTCAACCAAGGTTTTACTGACCAATTTCCGTATCAAAGGCCTACAGGAAAGTGAAAGCTACAATGTTTTGTGATCCATAAAACATCCTTAAGCTAGAATTTGAATTACACATGTAAAAGCCCAGAAGACAATCTCCTGATTGAGTTCAATAAATAATTTTGCCTCAAGGAAGGTAAAGGAAGTCTCACCGTATCATATAAGTCCTAAAGTATCTGTTAAATCACACACTGGAACAATGAAAGCAAGAGGTCATCAAATAGCATAAACTTATTCTTCATACAGGATCTTTTCATGGATATTACCCAGTGTCCCAACATCATGCTTTTTTCTGTGACCTTGGAACATCACTATTGCTGCCCTGGGCTTTGTGCTATGGCTTTATTTTTGTCCTATAATGCAACTTCCTCCTATTTCTCACCTTGCCCAGTTAAGAGTCCTTGTGCAACAAAATAGGCAAAGTTTTTGTGAAATACATTAAAGAACATTATGAGAATAATCTCTAGTTCAAGGACACTATTTTACTCCATGTGAGTTAAAAAATAATATTGTACTGACAATCAAATAAATCAAATTATACATATTTATTATATGCTGATACATTCTGAGAACTTTTCTCAGTATTCTAGTGAATGAAGAGTGAAGAATCTGTGTACTTCTGACTTTCTAAGATAAAATATTTTTGAAATAAAATTAAAGATTTCATATATAAAATATAATCCATTCTCTTCAATATACATTTTTATTTACCATATGAAGGAGGTAAAACAATCTTATTGTTAAAGGTAATATCATTTGCCAAGAACCATGAGCCAAATACCACGGTTCCTCCTGTTGATCATTGCTAGCTGATTATTTGATCAGTTATACACATATTGTATGTAAATGTGGATTTTTATTTAGCACATACCCCATAATGTAAGCATGTCAGCTGGTCATATGTTCACTGATCTATTTCAAAAAGAGTTTTTGCTATTACAATACTTGGGGAAAGCAGTCAACATGAGCAACAGGTTCTCGAAGAACCTTAAAGTAAAACCCCATATGCTTTATTATAAAAACATGAGTACAACAAAGTTAGAAAACTTCAGATGAAACAGGTGGAGCCTATTGTGACAAGTAGCCAAGAAACAATGAAATAATTTCTGAATCACAAAAGAAAACATTGCTGATAACTCCATACGTCCTGATAAAAACAAGCTCTTTGCTCATAACATTGGTCTCTCAACATAACATGACATAATCAGACATATAATTATGCACTTCCCAGGAGAGACAAGCATGTAAAAGCTACAATGAGCTTTTCCAAAATCAAAACTGACACCACCTTCTGATACTGCCACCATTCATGTTTAGTAAAACCTCCCTGTATTATCTCACCCAGGTCCTTTTTTACTTCCACCACATTGATTATTCCAATAATTTTCTATATATCTGTTCTGAAAAGACTCAAACTTTATCAAAAGAGCAATCACTAAAGGTGAAAAATGATTTTGATCCTCTGTTTCAGAAAAGCTTCGAATCATCTATCTTTAAATGAAAAAAAGAAAAAAAGACCATCTGAAGAAAAATCAGTAAGCCTCTTTTAAGGAAAATAAAATGACCCTCTGAATTATAATTGTGATTGCTACTTTCTTATACCATAGCCATATGTTAGACTCTGGAATGCCAAACTTGTATACCAAGAACCTCCTTAACGTTCAGGGATTAGTTACATTTAATATACATTAAATTCATAAATTAAAAAATGACTTTACATTTTACATATTTTCTATTGTAGTGGATGAAAACTCAAAAAAAGTAACTGAACCCCCGAAGTAGCAAACTTTCACTTCTTTTCATCTTTTTCACAAAATATTTCATTTGTGAACAAATTGACGTTAAAAACAGATGTTCTGATAGGTACCACCGCTTCCTTGTGATCTGAAAATTGGGCCTCCTAAACAAGGAGATCAGTAAAACGTGTGTCCGCCAGGCAAAAAGCCAGGGGGTGTGGGTGTTGGCACGTTGGCTATATAGCACTTATAGGCGAGACAACTCTAAACTAAGGTGCCTGAGCAGGTTCAGAATCTTTTTGCCTTAAACCCACAGATCTCTGTAATAGAAAACATGTTGATTTCAAAAATGTTTAGCAAGAAAATCTTTTCTGGAACTACTGAATAACAAAAAGAATTGCCAGGAAAACGTGAGGCTCTCTAACTACATATTGGCCCTGCCTCTGACTCCATCCATCTGTCACAAAAAATCTCCAAAATCAGCGCTGTAGAAACCAGAGAAAAGAGCGACAGTGAGTCTCCCTAACTTTGCCATTTTCCTCACACCACTTGGGAATAAAACTTGGGCGTCTCTCTGCCTCGACCGCCACTTCGCTTCCTGGAGCTCCAGAAGCTCGGTCAGCGCCTGGATAACTGCGACACTCACCCGTGAGCGCAGGACCCTCCTGGCGTCTTAAGTCCCAGCTCTCAGTCCCGCTAGCCTCAGGAACAATGATATTTCTCGCCCAGGAGGGCGGTTGCTGGGAACCGGAATCGGACAACAGTTGCAGTGAGCTTGACTCAGGGCTGAGCGCATCAGCGCTAAACCCAAGACAAAGGCTGCCCTGAGTCTTCCGTAATGAGTGCTCTCCCTTGGTAATCGGTGCCCGTTTCCCTCAAGCCCACACTGGGAGCGCGTGAGCCTGTGAAGTGGCTGTCATCGATTCCGCGCTTTCCGAGGGGTGCGGCTGGGTGCCTAGTACCGCGCCGGTGTAAACAGCGCGCCGCGCACTGGGGATCCGCCAGGAAAGGTGCGCGCGCAGGGCGGGCGCAGGGGGCCAATAGTAGCAACTACCCCTTGCGGCGGGCTGGAGCCGCCGCCACTCACCAGAGAGGCACCTACCGGGCGAGCCCGCCGCCAGCAGGCTGGGTGGCAGCACCCGCCGCGAACCCCAGCCACGCTCCCCAGTGGACCCACCAGGCAAAGGCACCTGCTGCCTGTCCGGGGCTGGTGCTGTGCCAAGCCCCGCTCGGGGTCAGGGACAAGCCGCCCAGGACTACCAACCGGAGAGAATTCGTTCATTGAATGAAAGATGTTTGCCGTCACTCACCGGCGGAGGGTGAGGTCGCTCAGGCGGCCGCCAGGCTGCGCGCGGCCGGCATCCCGGGGCGCGGGCGTTCGCCCATCCTTTGTCAGTTGCGAGCGGAGCGCTCCTCCCCAGCTAGCGGACGAGCTGCCGGGTGGCAGGCAGCCCGGCTCTGGCTCCGCTCCCCAGTCCTCTCCCCTCCTCTGCTCCCCCTCCCCTTCTCCGTCCCCCTCTCTGAGCCGGCATTCACTGGGCTCCCATGATGTCATCCGGTGGAAATCTGCCATGCTCAAAGACTGGAATAATCCAGCGCTCACGCGGGGAACGCAGAGCGGGCGGAGGCGGCAGCAGAGCCTCTAGGAGTTCCCAGAACTAGCATCTCCAGGTTAACTGGAGTCAAGGACAGGACAGAGGAGGGGTCTGCGGAAAGGTGGCTCCGAGGGTGTCCGTGGGCTGGGTGGGCGCGGTGGGGATGGGGCCGGAGAGTAACAGCCTGTTCTCCGCCGTAAAGATTCCCAAATCAGTATTTAGACTGATGGCAGATGCCAAAGGTAAGGAGAAAGTTTTTTTCTGGCTGCTCAGCAGCTCAGGTGCCCCATCTCGGTGATGAACATCTACACTGCAGCCAGGATAATAATTGGAACCCAGGGAACCCTCGGAGCCCTCGTCTCAATGAGAAAGTTTAGGATGTCTGACCAATGACAGCCTCAATGATGAGCAGCTAAAGTGAGGGACAAAGATGTACACTGTTTACAGGCGGCAGTCTGAGACAAAACATTAAAAAACGAAGGGGCCTCGGCAATCTATGGCATGAACACGGAAAAGACCGCTGCTCTGAGGCAAGAAGGCACCAGCAGGAATTCACCCCTAGCCTTAGTATTGACCTCCTGTCCTCCCACCATATATTAATGAGCACTCGAGGAGCGACTCCCCTGTAGCCTCATCCAAAGACTGTCATCAATGATGAAACTATTTAAGCCACAAGGTTTATTGAAACTCATAAAAGGTGGATGCCAATTATTTTTGCTTAAGATTCTGTATAATAGCAAGAGAAGTTTTATTAGAGAAGTCGACAAACAGCCTGAGTATTTTTGAAGATTCTGCTGTTTTCACGAAAACAGGCAGATACACCAGATCTGGGGTCCAGCCCTACAGCAGTCTAGAGCAGCTTCATGTCAAAAACTCTCCTGTTCAGAGACCAGATTTCAACAGCTCGTGGTTTGTGCTCTAATTAGTCCAAGCTTCAAGGAGCCTCTTGACTTCCCAGAATTACCTACCACCTGTCATTCCTGGAAGAGACTAAGCTTGCAGAGAAAAGTACCAGCAGCCAGTGCTGGTTAGGCAGTCTTCAGTGAGAGTGCTAGGAGGGAACAGGCAGACTCTGCCGCTGCATTCATCACCATTATCCTTTAGAAGTATCCTTTAGAAGACTAGGAATCACATTTATTGAAAGTGTTGATATGGTTAGAAAAGCCATAATCTTTGTAAATACAAAGAAAGGGATTCAATATAATAACAACAATTTGAAGGCTACTCACTATCAGATAGGCTTCTTATTGCATGGTGACATTGCGAAATGGGACTTTTCTGAGGAAAAGTAATAAGTATGAAAAAGCAGCATCGGAAATTATTTAAAAAATAAAGTATCAGTGTAATGGATAAATATGTAATGTATAAACAAAAATATGGCACATATACACAATGGAGTAATATTCAGCCATGAAAGAGAACAAGATCCTGTCATTTACAACAACATGGATGGAACTGGAGGGCATTATCTTAGTAACGTAAGCCGAGCACACAAAAGGGAAACTTTGCATGTTCTCACTCATTTGTGGGAGCTAAAAATTAAAATAACTGAACTCACAGAGATAAAGATTCAAGTGATGGTTACCAGGGGCTGGGAAGGGCAGTGAAGGGTTGTGACAGGGAATTGCCATATTAAATAGGAAAAATATATAGCTAGATAGAATGAATAAGTATTTGATAGCATAACAGTGACTACAGTCAACAACAATTTAGTGTACATTTTAAAGTAACTGAAAGAGTATAATTGGAATCCTTATAACACAAAGGAATGATAAATTCTCAAGGCAATGATACCCCATTTTCCCTGATGTGAATATTACACATGGTATGCTTGTATCAAAATATTTCATGTACCCCATAAATATATATGTACCTACTACATATCTATAAAATTAGAAACTAATAAAATAGAGTATCAAAAAATTGTGATGCATACACTTTGGAAATAATGTGTGAAATCTGTAAGTGTTCACTTTTGTTTATTTTTCAAATTAAAATATTTTAGGTATCACTAGTATATATATCATTATATAATAAATACAAAATAACGTATCAAATGACTGAACAGATTTTAGAAACAAGTATTTTTAAATACCTAAATAATAATTTTTTTTATAAAATCAGGCCAAATGGGAAGTAAACTAGGAGAAAACGTAAAAATTTGGAAATGTAAGCAATGACAGTCTTTGAGAATAGGAAAACAATCTAATGGCTTGGAAAAAGTAATTAGTACTGCTAATGACACTGTTCTAAGCGCATCAGAAGGTCAAGTTGTAAACCTTCCCTCCTAGATTGGCTCTTTGATGCACCATCTATCTTCATTGCCTCTGTTTATCGTCTTGTTCTTCAGCGTTCTCTGGACTAATTCATAAGAATGGAGGCAAGAGGAAGGTCATAGTTAGCAGATTTGGGGAATTTACTATAGCAGCCATAAAGATAAGAAAATGCTTCCTTCAGTTTTTTATTTTTTCATCACTGCTCTAAGGAACTAAAGCAAAACCTAAATCTCTTACTTTAAAAAATAAGTGCATTCATATGTGATAATTTATTTGGTTCTATGGAAATGTCTTCAGCATATGATTTGGGACCTTTTTGATTATTAAAAATACTGTGATGTGGCAATCACTCAGGACCTTGATCTTAGTAGTGGAGAGTGTGACAAAGCATTGCCATATTTAATAGGTGCAAACATATAGCTAGATAGAATGAATAAAATCTAGCATTTGATAGCAAAGTGAACTTACTGCATCTCTACAATTCCTTCCTAATGTGTGCTAACCTACTAATACCTTTGCCTGTGTCAATGACATTTTCTACTACTGCTGCATGCTTTTTAACTTATTTGTAATTTTTTAAATGTGGCGATTGAATATTTTGAAATACTTTTATCCAAGTGGATACCTGTAAATAACTAAAATAAGACATCTAATTGTTACATGAGAAAATGTAAAAGTATCATAAATCTTGGCCAAAAAAGTCTTTTACACACCTAACTCACATTCAAATCGTATTTAAATGGTGGTTATATTAAATCTTGGAATTGAAGATTTAGAGTAGATATATTATTGCTGCCTCAATTATGATGCTCTGCTGCACCATTTTCTTACTGATACATGATTCTCTTCACAAAAGCAGCAAGTGTTTTGGTGGGAAAAAAATAGACATATTTTAATATTTTTTCTCCGTGAATTCCACAAAATATAAACTGTTTATACACATTTCAATTGATAGACTCATTTACAGCAAGTGACTTTTATTTCTATTTATTATTTATCTAGTTTTTGAGATGGAGTCTTTCTCTGTCCCCCAGGATGGAGTGCAGTGGCTTGATCTCAACTTACAGGAACTTCTGCCTCCTGGGTTCAAGCGATTCTCCTGCCTCCGCCTCCCAAGTAGCTGGGATCACAGGCATGTGTCATCATTCCCCGCTATTTTTTTTTTTTTTATTTTTAGTAAAGACAGGGTTTCACCATGTTGGCAAGGCTGGTTTCGAACTCCTGACCTAAAGTGATCTGCCCACCTCGGCCTCCCAGAGTGCTGGGATTATAGGCATGAGCCACCACACTCGGCCTTTACTTTTAAAAACAAGTTTTCCTACATACAAATTTGTTAATCTTTATACATAATACAAAGAAATAATATTTGTAAGCCCTTATGTGCCAAATACCGTGCTAAGTTATTATATGTCACTATACCTGCTCTTCAAATCACCCCATGGTATAAGTGTAGTAACCTCTCTTGAAGATAAGGAAACAGACCTACAGAGGTTACAAAAATTGTCCAGGCAAGTAATCTAGCAACAAATCAAATTTAAAATTTGTTTCTATCAGGATAAACATATCAAGTCTGTCCTCATAACAGCATACTTGCAATTTTTAGGAATTTTTTCCTCTGAAAAAAATAAAGTATAAAAAAAATGAAATGTTATATGCATGCATACATACATTATATATACATATATATCTATACACACATATATGTATTGTATTTGATGAGGTAAATAAAATGCTTTTGTGAACTTTTCCATCAGTTAACAAACTCATCACTAATTTTATTTCCATTATCCCTGCTAATGAAATGCTTTCAAAGTTATTTATGAAGAAAAAGAATCACAGGCTACCAAATAAATTTTGGTTTTGTGTCTATCCTTAAACAGTGTCAGACATAAAGCAAGATACAGTGATTTTTGAACTTGAAGACAGATCGTTGCAAAATGAAATAAAAAAGAAAAAGAGCCATAAACCATTAATTTAAATAAAGACAAAGACTACCTCAGCAACAAGGTACAGTTAATCCATTAGTAGCTCTGGGAAAGAAAACTACATCACCCATCCAAATGAAGGCTTTCTTTCCTACTGTGAATATTAACAAGGAAAATAGATTACTTTACATATTGTACCTCAAAGGCCCAGTATGGTTTTTTTTTTTTGTTTGTTTGTTTGTTTGTTTTTATCATAGATAGTAATATTCCCTGGGCACGGATATATAATCAAAGATTCTTTAAACAGAAAGGTTTGGTATAGATTCTTTTCAAACTCTTTTTTTTTTTTATTTTATCTCGTTTCATAATTGCTGATGTTCGACAACTCTGTTAATTAGGGTTATTTGAGTGAATGTGTGAAATAGTTAAAAGGTATACATAACAAATTATCATTTTTTCAATATGTGCTGCTAATTTGGATTTTTGAATTAATTACTCATTTATTATCTAAACTATTTAAACAAACAATGGCAATCTTTGTAGTCATGAGATATGTTAGCAGGTACAAATTTATTTATTGCATCTTATGATCTAAATATTAGTGTTATTTTGACTTTGCTTCCAGTACATTCTTCTATCATTAAACATCTTTATTTGACAGGACAAGGGACCTGTCCCA